TATTTTATTCGGTTCTATCAGCACCACAATGCTTAACGCATATGGAAAATAAAATTCAATCTAAATAGGAAAGCCCTTTAGGAAGCAATGCTAAGCGAAATTCAATTGAATTGTGAGGCCTTGTGCTTATTTAATTACGGAAACTTCAGCTACTAGTCCTTATACGGCCGCTTAGAATGGGAGTTAAGGTGCTTCACGAGTTTTGGCAATGAATAGCTCCTCGGTGTATGCTCCAAAAGGGGTATTTCACACGAAAATAGACTACAAGCCCCACATGTAGTCCAATCTGCTCTCTAAGCCGGATCGACTTCATTATGAGATGTTAGCAAGAACGTCATTGAAGCCACATGGTATGAAGTATCTTCAGAGAAAGATTTTACCTTCTTAATCCACAATTTTGGTGACGTCATTAGATAAAGGTAGATCAGATCTTTAACTCATCTTGAGCAGACCGACTATCAAGTGACTAAAACACCTAATAATTAATGACTCATATTTTCATCTTAAGAGCAACTACATGATTGCTTCCATACTTTGTTAATGCAAAATAACGCTCAATACCAATGGATACGTACGCCGTATGGGCTTGTAGCAATATTTGAAGATAACACTCTGATTTTCCATTAAATATAACTGGCCCGATTTCGAATCCCGTAAGGTTGTTAATGAGACTGAGTCCGTCGACCACACTCAAGGTTAGGTGAAATTCAATAACTTTTAAGTAAATTTATGTATTGTTAGGCAACCTGGTATACGCAATAAAACTAAATACTTTGCTAATAATGAATATATCCGTCATATCAGTTGCTATGAGGCCTAAACCGATTGTGCATCATGACAATAATCGTGTCTCTGATAACAGTGACTAAATAAATATTAGAAATGTCAATTTGCCCCCTGGGTAGAAAAAAGATGTGATTTTCAGGGGCACGCAAACTCGATTAACCCCAGTAATGGCGATTTGTATTTATTCGATTAGTTGTGATGCCATTTGTCCAAGAGGGAATGCTGAAGTTTGGTTACAACTAGCATCATCAGAAAGTTGAACTTGCAAGACCCCATATTTAGCCACTTATAATGGGAGGTCAGGGGCTTCCCGACTTTGGCAATAAATTGCTCCTCGATGTATACTGCAAAAGTGGGATTTCACACAAAATATACTACAAGCCCCACATGCAGTCCAATCTGGTCTCGAAGCCGGCTCAACTTTATTATGGGATACTAGCAAGAACATCATAAAAACAACTTAAGAGAAAGATTTAACCTTCTTAATCCACAATTTTGGTGACGCCACTAGATAATGAGAAACTCATTTAAAAAGCCTAGCACTATCTATCTATCCTAAGCTATCCCTACAAAACATCCATGGGTACCCTTAGTAGTTTTGAACGTATAAGTATACTTTCGCAAATAAATTGCCTTAGTTCTTCCCTCGTAATTTACAGTAAATATACAGATGTCAGATCGTGAAAGGTTTCCTCATTTGTTTGTTTTTTATTTACCATCAGAATTTTCTTTGATAGCTTCCATGCCTCTAGAAAAACGATTTAATGAAACAAAAAATAATATTTCATTTCATCATTTTTATTAAAACTACAACTACATGTATGCATCACCAAGATGCATTATCTTGCGGGTTGCTACTTTCATTTATGGCACAACCCAGTTCCAGATCGCGTTGAGATACTGCTGAGATTTACACAAAGACAGACTTAGTCGATTTAGGATAATAACCTGGTATTTGTGCATAATACGTAAATAAATAGATATGTAAAACTCAACCTTGAATGCTTAAAAAGATAAGGTGATAATGTAAAACTTTGCTTTGAGGATGTATTGTGTAAAAAAATATTTGAATAACTCTTTGAGTCATCCTAGTTCGCTTAAAATGATTTAAGGATGGTTGAATTTGTCCAGAATGAAATTATTAGGATTAATAGTACCCTTTGCCATGTTTTCTCATTCAGGGTAGACTTTTATTGCGATTTTAGCAAGGTCTCATCAGCACCCCTAATGGGATTCGAGTCCAGATCGTTTGCGAGCAGTTATCACACGTTAACCTCACGCCAAATAGTGATTGGTGTGGGTAGATCAGTGGGCGGATTTGACCCAAAGCAAGCCAGACTTATGCCAAATTGAATTTATTGCAAGATTGACGATTATTAAAGCTTTTACTCAAGATTTACTAATAGTATCTAAAAATACTCACATTAAATTTAAAGTTATTTGGTTTGGTGCCTTATCCAACCTAAAATAAACTAGGCTTAGATTTTTTGTTTATAAGCAGAATTTCGAGACTAAAATTAAATCAATTATATGAGATGTATTCACCCTATTTCCTTTAAGGTGATGAAGAAATGGTAGCCGAATTTTAGACAATGATATGAGTAGAGCTGATTTACTGGTAGTCTCTAAAATTCGCGTATAAACGAAAAATAAATAATGTGATCTATTGTTGTAGCAAAAATACGTTTTTTTATTGACAATCCCACCAAAGAATGTGCTTTGGGAAGAGGCTTAGCCTTCCTTGAAATTCGCATCTGCCATGTGACCCAAGGGCACTCGTGGCAATGTGGCGGAGTAGTTTACATGTCAAGTTCACATGCTGCACTTTAACAGTTCGACTCCAGCTATGGGTATTTATAAGACCTAGGCGAGGTCGAAGCTGCAGTCTACTCCTGCCTGGATGATAACAACTTTTGGGAAAGCAAGGCTCCATGAAATTTAATGGAAACGTCAGATCTACTCATATTACTGTGGGAAAATTCAATTATCAGTCCCTTATCACCTTAAATGGAATAGGGTGGATACATCTCATAGGCTTAGATTCTTTCTTGGCTAGCGCTTAAGTGAATTTAATTCATACTAAACAGAGCCGAAAGCGATCTCAAATTTCATAACTCTCAACCCTTAGATGAATTTAGATATAGCCTTTGGCTATACAAAAGAATGAGATAAAATGCCTATTTATGCCACAAGGATTAAACTTGCTAGGACATTTCGCACTTAGCTATGCGCTTGCACACAAAAATCCCAGTTTGAAAACCTAATAACGTAACAAAAGTATGTAAATATAATCAAAGTGATATCCTACGGAATTTGGGCTGACATT